AGCCAAGAGCGGGATCCTACCCAGAGAAGCAGAGATGCCTGAGATAGAGACAGAGATGGTGACGTGGAGTGATGAAGCAACTGGGGACCTTGGACCCAGAGAGGGAAAGGGACTGTGGGCTGAAAACTGCGGGGAGGAGGGGGAAGTATAGGGGGCAGGTTTCTGGGATATACCCTTTGGTTGGTTGATGATGCATGGAGGGGACTAGAAACATGGCAGTGAGATGATATAAGATGGAATGAATGTAAAACTAAAGTTCTCCCATGTAAACTATCATATAATTTACAATAAAACATTAAAAAAGAACGTGGTGGCCTGGCAGAGCAGATTAACACAGGCGACAGGAAAGGTACAATTCCTTCTTTTTCCCTATGCTCCCAGAAGTGGGACCAGCTCCCACCCTCATCCATCCCCAGTGTAGACCCTGCTCCCTTAAGAGTTCAGAGCTACATGGTTGGGAGCCATTCCGTGTGAGGTGGTGTCTGGATATACAACTTTGGTGCCTGAATTTAGGCAGGCTCAGCTCCAGACCTAAAAAAGCCACAGAACTACCTCATAACCAGCCACCCTGGCCCCATATGCCCTGTGGTCCTAACAGACACTGAAACCAGCTCCGTCAAGGGCCTCCACCAACTACTTCCAAATTGAGGGCCTGAACACAGATAACACCTAAGCCTACTGAACTCCATCCTTCCCCCTCCCACCTCATTAGCTCCTTGGCTGGCAGGAACCCCAGAGTTTTGTCCTCTCTAGGTCCAACAGCCGCACTGTTTTAGTTTGGATTTTGGCATTTCCTTTTATTTCTTTCTTCTCCTCTTCCCATTTTCTTGAATCTCATTCTTTCTATCTCTGCTTTTCCTCTTTTCTTTCTGCTTCTCATTTCTACTCTTTTTCTTTTTCCTTTTGAGGTTTTTTCTTTTTTTTTTTTTTTTTCTTTCTGCTTCTCATTTCTACTCTTTTTCTTTTTCCTTTTGATCTTTCTTTACTATTTTCTACTTTCTCTTTTCAACTTCCTTCTCCCTGGTTTTTGTTAAGTTTTTGTTTTTACTTCTTCTTTATTTTCTCTCTTATTTTTCTCTTCTATTGCTCCATTTTCCTGTTTCTTTCTCTCTTTTTTAAATTATTATATTCTGCTTTTCTGGTTGTTTCCTGTTTTTATTTCTTTTCTTCTTCCTTTATTAGCATCCCTTTTTCATTATTGATTGGTTGTTTATTCTGTTTTGTTTTCTTGTGGTGGAAGAGTTCTCTTTCCCACCTGAAAGGAGATAGCAACCATACATTCTGCAGTTCCACCCACTGGGCAAGAGCCAACTAAGGTAAACAGAAGTCTCGGTGTGGATAAGCACTGGACCACAAGTTCAGTTTGAACCACAGGTCAGCAGTTCAAACTCAGCAGCTGCTCCTTGGAAACTCTATTGAGGGTCACTACAAATCATTTTTACATATGGTGTGAGATAGGGGTCTTGTTTCATTTTTCTGCAAATGGATTTTTGCCAGCACCATTTGTTGACAAGAATTGTTTCTTCCCCATTATTGTAAAAAGTTAAGAAAATATTTTCTTGATAAAAGAAACATTCTATGATAGTTGAGGAGGGATGAAATGTTATTCCCAGACTAGAGAGTAGATACATGTTAACATGAGTAACAGGGGCAGGCAGGAGGGAGGTTGGCAGAGGAAAGATGAAGTATCTGGAGAATGAAAAATTTAAAGTGAATAGAGGAAATACTGTTAACTGATGATCTGCTCTATCAGCCTTCATTCAATTCACCATCAAAAAGTTTTTTTAAAAAAAAAGAACAACTGATCCTGACAGACTAACAAAGGGATCACAAGAATTTTGAATTGTGATTTTTAAAACACAGAAAACAGAGTAAGGATATCAGTAAATCTACTCCCTTTATAAAAGCAACAGGAACACTGGCAAAAGCATCTCAGAACTCTGGAAATTAACTAAAGAGTAGCAACCACCTGAAGAGTGTTTATTTACACCAAGGACAGCCCCTCCCTCCAAATTTAAATTCAACTGGCAACTTCCTTTGAAAGAATTCAAACTATGCCTGATACAGAATAAGTATTTCATTAGTCCTCAGATTTTTATCACAATGCAGGACTCACTAGATAGCCAGGTGAGGGATGCTCTAATATAGCAATCCCTTCTATAGTTCCCCAGCAAAAATGGCCAGCCATTTATGGACAGAGCTCCATGAGCGGAAACTTACGAATAAAAAATGGAACACATTCAACCAACCTCATCTTTGCTCAGGAAGGAACCCTGACACAAACTATGACTCCTAGGACTTGTTATCAAGCACCAAGAGACTCCCTGCTGAATTTTACAAAAAGTATTTGTAAAAGAGCTCTGGTAGCATAGTGGTTACGAATTAGGCTGCTAACCTCAAGGTCAGCAGTTCGAAACTACCAGCTGTTCCGCAGGAGAAAGATGAGGCTTTCTGCTCCCGTAAAGATTTACAGCCTCGGAAACCCTGTACAGGGTCGCTATGAGTCAGTTCCGACTCCAAGGCACATACCATGTGCTGCATCTTGGTATGGCGCTGTGGGTTAATGCACTGACTGCAAAATCAGTTTGATTGCTAGGTCGGTGGTTCAAATACACCAGCTGTTCCTCAGAAACCCTATACAGGGTTGTATGGGTTGGAACCAACTCGATGGCACTTAACAACAACTACCATGTGGAGACTGACAAGATAACCTAAAAAGTACTTCCAGAAAAAGAATATGCTTCATAGACATAAAATCCTAATTCCCTGGATTACAGACCTCTCCAATCTGTTCAATTGTTTTCTAGGAAAAAATAAAATCTATCAGGTATTCAATGTTACCAATGCCATGCTCTGTGGTAGGAACAGCAGGAAAAAAATGCGTCACTCAGTTTCTGTAAAGATTACAGCCTTGGACCTGCTACATTGTCTCATTTGCACTTGAAAGCTGAGCAGTGAATAAGGAAGACAGTAGAAGAACTGATGTATTTGAGTGATGATGTTGGAGAACATTGAAGATACCACAGCTACCAAAACAAACAAATCTGTGTTGGAAAACGTACAACCAGAATGCTCCTTAGAAGCCAGGTTGATAAGACTTCATCTCTCATACTTTGGACATGTTAGCAGGAGGGACCAGTTCCTGGAGAAGGGCATGCTTGGTAAAGAGGGTCAGTGATAAAGACAAAGACACCCAACCAGATGGATTGGCACAGTGGCAGAAGCAATGAGCTCAAGTTTAACAAGGATTGTGAGGTTGGGGCAGGACTGTGTAGTATTTCCTTCTGTTGTGCAGTAAGGTCGCTTTGTGTTGGTATTGACTAGAAGGCACGTAACAACACCAACTGTGTCCTACAAGATCAAGATAAGAATTGGTTCTATGGCAAGAGGTTTATGAAAGATAATGGCCAAACTTCGTCTCTCATACTTCGGACATATTGTCAGGAGGGACCAGTCGCTGGAGGATATTATGTTCGGTAAAATGGAGGGTCAGAGCAAAAGAGGAAGACCCCAGCGAGATGGATTGGCCAAGTGACAGCATTGATGGACTCAAGCGTGGCAACAGTAGTGAGGTTGGCCCAGGATCCGGCAGTGTTTTGTTCTGCTGTGCAAAAAGTCGCTAGGGTCGGTACCGACTCGATGGCACCTAACAACAAATATCGTTTAATCCAGATATTTTGATGCTAGTCAACAATATGTCCATTAAACAGATTAAGAAAGTGAAACAGAGAGAAGTTTTAAAAATTGAACCAAGAGCACACAGTTACTATGTGCTGAGGTCGACTCAAGCGCATTTCTAATTGACATTCAAATGTTTGCTGGGACTTGAGCACAGAAACTGTCTCGGAGAGGATTAAACGGCACTGTGACATCGTTCTCTCTCAGCGAAGTGGAACGTTGGGAATTCGCTTAATAGCTCAGCTTCAGTTCCCACACCACCACGGTGAATTTCACAGGAAAGGCGGGCAGCACAGTCGCCACTGACAGGTTGGTTGGCAGCCAACGCCGCGGGAGGGACTCCCGGGGACATCAGAAGGGCCAGTCGGGGGCGGGGCCGGGCCGGACCACCGCGCCACAGCCGACGCAGGCGCGACGATACACAACGCCGTGGGAAAAGGACCAACCAAGCCCGGCCCCGCTGAGTCACCGTGACCCAAGGGTAGGGTAGCAGTGTGACCAGCCCACGGCCTTGTTTCCTAGACAGCTGGACCAAGAACTTGGGCTCACCTCCGAGCTGGCTCGCAAACTGGTACCTCCCCTTCACTCCGCGCTTCGGTCGCCATCTTACTCAGCAAATCTTTTTTTCCGCTCACCTCAGGGCCCGCCTCGCGAGCCCCTCGATTGGCTAAATTGTTTTCCCCTCCTCCAAGCTATTGGCTGACTTGCCCGCCCCGCCTCAACCTGAAGTTTTTTATGATATTACTGGTTTATTCAAATAATTAACTGCCATTGGTCGTCCCCAGTGCTAGCGGAAAAAAAAAAAGGGCGGGCCAATCCCCGGTGCCTGCCAGGAAATGTAGTTTTCTCGTTTTGTTTAACCCTTCAGATCCTATCGACGTTTAGGTTCAGGTCAGAAATCCTCAAGAAGAGCCACACTCACTCCATTGCTCACTCTTCTATTCCAAGAAATTTGGAAGACATCTACATGGCTAACCGACCGGAAGAGATCCATATTTGTGCCCATTTTACAAAAAGAGACTCCAACAGAATGTAGAAATTATGGAACCGTATCATGAAGCACAAAGACCACAGCCTTCGGTATGGGTTGCACCTCAATGCAAAGAAAACAAAAATCCTCATCAATGGGTCCAATAAATAACATCATGATAAATAGAGAACAAAAATGGAGTTATCAAAGACTTTATTTTGCTTGGATTTACCATTAACACTCGTGAAAGCAGCAGTCAAGAATCAAAAGACAAAAAAAAAAAAAAAGACATATTGCATTGGGCAAATCTGCTGCAAGAGCCCTCTTTAAAGTATTTTAAAAAAGAAAAAGAAAAAGAAAGAAAAAAAGATGTCTTTGAGGACTAAGGTGCACCTGACCCAGCCATGGTATTTTCAATTGCCTCATATGCATGTGAAAGCTGGACAGTGAATACAGAAAACCAAAACAGAATTTATGTCTTTGAATTGCTGGTTTGGCAAAGAACATTAAAAATGCTCTTTGCCTACATGGACTTCCAGAAGAATAAACAAATCTATCTTGAAAGATGTACGGTCAAAATACTCCTTAGAAGTGAGGACATGTTATCAGGAGATACTAGCCCCTGGAGAAGGACATTATACTTGGTAAAGAGGGTCAGTGAAAAAGAGAAAGACCCTCAACAAGATGGATTGATACAGTGGTTGCTACAATGGGCTCAAACATAGCAATGATTGGGGATAGTGCAGGATCCGGCAGTGTTTCAGTCTGTTGTCCACTATGAGTCAAAACCAACTTCACGTCACCTAACAACAGTAGCAATGCTTAAACTGTTTCCTTGTGTATAAATGACAGAATTATAGAGCTATTGAAATGAAACTGTCATAAAGAATCATTCTCTAAAATGCAAGACCCATTTTAGGATTTGACAGGTAATTAAAAGAGCAGGCACAGAGTGGGTGGATACCCAAGAAGTTGCTGTTGTGTGCCAAGGAGTCAATTCCAACTCACAGTGACCCTATACAACAGAGTATCGCTGCCCATAGGCTTTCCTAGGCTGTAAATTGTTAAGGGAGCAGGTCACCAGGTCTGTTCTCCCATGGAACCACTGGGTAGGTATTTTTTGATTAGCAGTCAAGTTCTTAACCATTGTACCACCAGGGCTCCTTATCCAAGAAGTACATAAAAGAAAACCCCAAACCCATTACCATCAAGTGCATTCCGACTCACAGCAACCCCATAGCACAAAGTAAAACTGCTCCTTAGGGTTTCCAAGACTGTTCATCTTTATGGGAGTAGCAGTGGGGTAACTGGTGAGTTTGAACCACAGACTTTTGGGTTAGCAGCCCAACACTTAACCCACTGCACCACCAGGGCTCTTTGCCTGGCATATAGTGGTCATTTAATAAATGTTTTTTGAACAAATTAACAAACAAGTTCTCAGACTATATTATCCAAATCAATAGTTGTAATAGATTTTTTTCAGTTGATGAATTCACAGAAGGGAAAAAAGTTCAACAAAGTTCAAATAGAAGTGTTACAACAAAACTGCATTTAGTTTTATGTCTAACAAATTGTTTTTATTGAGCAAATACATGAGAAGAAACAGCATTCAACAAATATGCATCCGTGATTATTTTTCATTGAACCCAGGCTGTTTTAGAAAATCCAGACCCTGTCATTGCGATAAGCAATAAGTAGAGAACCAACTGATACTTTCACAAAAGAAAAACATTCTAAACATTAAAATATTGTCTGTCAACTGGGCTCTCTTGATTTTATGAAGAATCACATTTTTATATAAAACCTGTAATGTTAGGGGAAATATGTAACACAGTAGTTAGGAGCATAGGTTCTGAAGTTAGTGAACCCAGGATCAAATCCTGGCTCCATGACTTCTTTGCTGTGTGATCCTAGAAACTTAACTTTCTGGCTCTATTTATTTCCTCTTCTGTGAAATGAGAATTGTTCTCACAGAGTTATTGCAAAGACTGAAAAGTTGCCAAGCAGAGCAGTGTTTGGCACACAAAAAAACAACCAAACTCATTGCCAGTAAACCAATTCTGACTCATAGTGACCTTAAACAGAGTAATATTGCCCCAGAGGGTTTCCTAGGCTGTAAATCTTTGCAGGAACAGACTGCCACATCGTTCTCCAATAGAGTGGCTAGTACATTCAAACTGCCAAAGCTTCAGTTAGCAGATGAACACCTTAATCACTGTACCACCATGGCTCCTTTTAGCACATGGTGTTATTGCTGTTGTTGTTAAGTGTCTTCAGGTCAATTTTGTATAGTGTTTCCAGGGCTGTAAATCTTTATGAGAGCAAAAAACCTCATCTTTCTCCTTCAGAGTGGCTGATGGATTTGAACTACCTACTTTGTAGTTAGCAGTCCAATATTTATCCTAGAGCACCACCATTATTCCTTTGGCACATAATAAGGTTAAATGAGTGATAGGAAAACTATTTTAAAAATGCTAAACTCAACATAATGTCACTGAATTGTACATGTGAAAAAAAGCATAATATATTTTTTTTTAATCCTCTAACGAAGTCTTCTCAGATAATACATTTACCTCCACTGCTGTATGATAAGAACCATACATTACAACATAGTCACCGTTTAATCAGTTACTCTGGATTGGGGAGTGTTTCACCTCAAAATTGCTGTGAGTTCTGATTAAAAGCAAGTATCACTGCTGAGTGCTATAAAAATACCCACTCAGCCAACAAGCCTGCACACCTTGCTTCTGCTCCCGACATCATCCTTCCTCTATCTAGGGACAGATTGTCAGTCTGGTGATAAGCATGGCTGTATGGCAGTAATTCAAGAAAGTTCACAAAGTTCTTGTTTCCAAGAACCTGGCAGAACAAAAGGTCACAAAGAAAAGTGGTCTCTCCTTACATAGACTCCCACTGACCTGGAGTATAAGGAGACCTGGTGAGAACTGGGGACTCCTGAAGGACATAGCCACAGAGGGCTAGAGCTGAGAGTGAAGCATCCAGCTGATATGAAGTGAGGGGAGATGCACAAGAACGCCCAAACCGCAGATAGTATCCATTTTACCTGGCTTCAATGGCTGGAGGATCAGAACTCGACTAGAGGAAAATTTTTTTTAAAAAATTGATTAAGAAAACAATTGTAAATTGCTACAATTTGATGAACTTGACCTATACTTATGGATGTAGTAGCTTAAAATACCAACTGAGTGGGAAGGAATCTTCACAGCAAGGATTGATTATTCCTACCCCCTCCATATATGGGGTTGATAGGGATGGGCAATTAGACATTGGCTACCTAAAATAGGGAGAGGGTGCTATAAAGGCATGAAGTGACAGGCTTACAAGTTTTCAAGAGGGAGTTTAGTTTCAGAGTGGGCAAGGGAAGGTATAATCCCCACTGAGAGGTTTTCATCTTGTCTAGACAGATCTGGTGAAAGGAGATGGGGTTAAGAGTCTCATGATTCAATAGTGAGTAATTGTTATCATGACTAATTGCGAGTGTTGCAACGATAAAGGTAGAAGTTTTATAGCAAAAAGCAGGGAGTGGTTGAACTTACAGTCCAGGAATGGAGGACCCTGGGACCATCAAGGGAGAAGAGCAGGAGTGGAGTGTGGGACCCTAGCCAGAAAGGCGGCAACACCAGAAATGGAGGCAGAGATGATTTCATGGAGAGATGGAGCAGCTGAAGACTCTAGACTCATGGCAGGAGAGGGGCTGTGTGCTGGTGGCTGGGGGGGCAAGCTTGCACCTTGGTTGTCTGAGTGATTGTATATTTAAGTGTTTTGATGTACATCAAAAAAAAAAAAAAAAGAGGGGAATAGAAGCAAATATTGTTGGATGATGATGCATGGAGGGGATCATAATCATTGCAGTGAAATGAAATACTATGGGATGAGTGTAAAACTGATGTTCTCCCATGTAAACTATCATTCAATTCACAATAAAAACTTTTTTTAAAGTACATGTTGAAAAACAAAAAGAACAAAAAAAAAAAAAAAAAGAAAAGAAAAGCGGTCTCAGCACCTCAAGGAGTTTACAATTGAAGCAGGAAGACAAAATGAGCTCACATAAATAGCACACAATAAAAGACCATTTAAGATTATTGTGAGCTGCCATCGAATGGCCAGCAGAATGAAATGTCGCCTGGTGTTGCATTATCCTCACAAACACCAATATGTTCAAGTCCATCGTTAAGGTTACTGTGAAAATCCATCTTACTGGAGATTTGCCACATCCTTTTTGGCCCTTTATTTCACCAAAGCTGATGTTCTCCTATAACGGTTGATCCTTCCTAATGAGGGATCCAAAGCAAGTGAGTCAGACGATGTTCTATTGTGATTCATAAAGTTTTCACTGGCTAGTGTTTGGAAGTAGATTGCCTAGATAGGCTTTCTTCCTCGTCTGTCTCAGTCTGGAAGCTCCATTAAAACCTGTCTACCATGGTTGAACTTGCTTGTATTTGAAATACCAGGGGCATAGCTTCTTGTATCACAGCAACACAAAAGCCACCACAGTATGGCAAACTAACTAATGGGTGGTGGAGTTTAGAAGTCCAGATGGCTAAATATCTAAAGTAAGAAAAGATTCCTAGGAATTCAGAAGTGATAAAGGTCAGAGCTGCTAGCGATCCT